CCAGTATTTTTATGAATCTCATTTTGCTGTAGTCTGAACAGAGGAGGAAGTTTATCCAGTCTCATTACAATGTTGGGTCTTCCCCCGTCAACCTCATTGTTAGGGAAAATATGAAAATATACCTCAGACGATATATTTGTGAAATATTCAGACATGGAAGGAAAGAGAAGAGTAAATAGATCTCATGTTGGGCTAAATATTAAATAAATGCTATGTATGGGGTAAAAACCGTCGCTTCTAAAGAGGCTTATTTGTGCATCGGTTATTTCTTTGTTTATTCATTTTCTTCTTTGAGAGATGTTTTTGGATGGCTCTTGCTAGTTTTTTAGTGCTTGATTTTGATGTCGTTATGCCCAGTACAGCCTGTGACCTTCAGCTCTTCACCTTGTAGTTACCAGGCGCTTGAAGTCCATCAAGAACATTCAGAAAATTACCAAGTCCATGAAGATGGTTTCTGCAGCAAAGTACGCAAGAGCCGAGAGGGAGCTGAAGCCCGCGAGAGTCTATGGAACGGGAGCACTGGGTGAGAGGACACTCTTGCACAGAGTGATGTGGGAACGGAAGAGGAAGACTTTCCTGGTGGTGATAAAATGCCTAGACTTTTTAACCTTTTGGTAGTTTTTTGTGGGTTTTTTTTCCCCAAAAGATTCTGCATCTCTAGGCCACCTTGAGTATTCCTTCAAAGTTGATGGAAAGTGATTGTTAAAGAGTTCTAATGTGAAAATTATGAGTCCTGGTTACTTTTTTAACTTTGTGTGGTTGTTTTCATTAATCATAAAAGCACCATAACTCTGAATTTTTGGACTGCTTCTATCTGTTAATGGAATCGTGTCCTACTTCTGTAGCACCTACAGCTACTGCCAGACCTCTTTGCAAACTCGTGGGCTGCTGAAGCAGCGGAGTTGCACAGTGAATTTAACTAATTAACAACGTTAATGGTGTGATATAACGGCGTTGATGGTGTGATATCTGATGCAGAGATGTGACTGGCTTCGAATTTTTTCTTTGTCACCAGTGGTCGGATCATGCGGAAGCTTGTATGATTGTGAGGGAGATAAAATTCATCCAGCTGTGATTTGGAATCCCTTTAGAAATCATTTTATTTAGAAAAATTCAAAGGTAATTTAATATGGCCTGTTTGCTTTCTGGCACCTTAGAGTAACTTGCCTATCTTTTTTTTTTTTTTTTAGCTCTCTATGAGAAAGCAGAAATAAAGGCACCTGAGGACAAGAAGAAGCACCTCCTTATTGGTGTGTCCTCTGACCGAGGTCTCTGTGGTGCTATCCATACATCTATTGCTAAAACCTTGAAGAACGAGATTACCAACCTCTCAAATGCAGGAAAAGAAGTTATGGTGGTCGGGGTCGGTGATAAGATCAGAGGCCTGCTTCAGAGGTAAAAAGAAGGCTTTGGGCTGTTTTCTGTGGTGGAAATAAAACTGCTAAATTCAAGGGGTTTTTTTTAAAAGAAAAAAAAGGAAAACCTGCAAATACACTAACAGAGCTTTTGAACGTCTGGATATTTGTGAAACTGCTGCACAGCATTGTTATGGTTTTGGAATAAAAGTGTGAAAGTTGGCAACTGTAGCACTACTACAAGTGTGTGTTTATCTTAACTAGAAAAAAAGCAAAATTTATTTCAGGGCCTAATTCAGTGAAATGCTTAGTTCCGAATGCTGAAGTTGCTGCAGCTCATTGCCTCTCGGTGCCACATAATTTTACGTTAGAGCATCCACTTAGTTGTAACCTCGGTTTGATGTTACTCTAGGACACATAGCAATTACTTCCTGATGACATTCAAAGAAGTGGGACGGAGACCTCCGAGCTTTGGAGATGCTTCAGCCATTGCCTTAGAGTTGTTAAACTCTGGGTATGAGTTTGATGAAGGCTCTGTCATCTACAATCGGTTCAGGTAAGATTGAACTGGAACTGCACTGGGAGAACACTGGGTAGAAGGCTTGCAAGAGCACGTTGGCCCGATAAGGGGGCTGGTTCGCTCAGTGGTTTGAGTGTGGTGCCGACAACAATGACCGACACCGAGGTCGCGGGTTCGATTCCCGCTCGGTCCCCGTGTATTGCCTGGTCTAGTCGAGAGGTGACGTCCCTGCCCATGACAGGGAGGTTGGACTAGATGATCTCTAAGGTCCCTTCCAGCCTAGGCCATTCTATGATTCCAATGAAGTTATACAAAAACTGACTGCGAATTGTACATTTACTTTGTTTCTTGAGGAGGGAGCACTTCTTGTTGTGCATGCAGAGGCTTTGGGGTTTTTTTACTAGCTGTGGTTGGAAATCTCTTTTTATTTGTACAGTGAGTGCTACTGTATCTAGTCAGTACATCATACCCACGTGATATCTGAGATCTCTCTATCAGGAGTATCAGAAAGCTGTGGAAATGGAAAGCCCGAAGTTGTCTTTCCGAATTTGATTGTAAACACTCAATTTAGGCTCTTCAGTTCAACTGACCTTACGACACTGTTTTTATACAGGTCTGTAATCTCCTACAAGACCGATGAAAAACCAATCTTCTCCCTTGAAACAGTTGCTGGCTCTGGTAAGTAGTGAACTAGAAACCACCAGTTATGTGAAATGATAAATTGCAGAAAAAGTGCTCTGAACATGAGAATATGGTATTAAAACATCTTAGCGTGGTGCATGTATCATAAGTTTTAACAGGTGCTGTGGGGCAGGAAGGTTAAAAAGAACAGTTGAATTATTTTGATTTGAGTTTCTCTCTCAAGGAAGAGCTAAGAATGAACATGCAAAACTCTGTCAGTCCCAGTGTTTTCAGCACTGAACTGCCTGGGCACTGAGTGACTTTGCACTACTCGATAAAAATACCCTGGAACGTTTCTGCAGCATTGTATGGGAAGATTAAATGTAATACACCAATAATATATGTGGCTTTGGCCAAAATCTGACTTTCCTGGTGTTAAATTGAATGAAAAGACACAAAATACTTAATCTCTCTGCTACTTAGATGATTTTTTTTTTTGTGGAAGTACATATTGTAGATAGAGAAAATCCCTCCACGCTGCCTTAAGTAGAGAAGCTGGCTAGCCTAGTAGTCTTTCACATGGGATTATATTGTTTTGCCGGCTTGGATTTTTCTAAGTCTACTCTCTCATACCTTCCAGAAAGCCTAAGTATCTATGATGATATTGATGCCGATGTGCTGAGAAACTACCAAGAATTTACATTAGCAAATATCCTGTACTACTCCCTGAAAGAATCCACCACCAGCGAGCAGAGTGCTAGGATGACCGCTATGGACAACGCCAGCAAAAATGCTTGTAAGTCTACTCTGGGGCCTTCCCAGGACTTCAGTGGTTTGACATGAAAATACTGACCTCCCTTTGTTTAATTCTTTGCTCCCAAAATGATAAGAAGTGAGCTGGTTTCTTGCTTAATTCCAGTTTAAGTCTGGTTTGTTTGGTTTTTTGTTTGAGGGTTTTTTTTGAGCCAGTTCAACTGGGATTCTTTTCTGAACCCGTGAACCTTATTTAGTCCCTGCAAGGAGGGGTTGCTGTCAACTCCATGAGAAACCAGATTAGGTGCCTGGAAGCGAAATAACAGATTCTTTAGAAAGAATATGAAATGCTAAACTAATCTTGTCACGACCAAATACTCTTTACAGTCTTCTCATGTCGCTGGTCTGAGGATTTCCAAAGTTTTTGTAAGCCTGTACGTACTTGTGAGCCCAATGCAGTTAATACTGCACCAGTTTAAAGGTGGCAAAACTGAAACAGTGGTTAAGTGCTTTGCCACCTGTCTTGCAGCAAGTTGAGAATATATGAGTATTCCTTGGAAGGTGTCCAAACAGAGCGCAGTGCGGAGTGTGCAGTTGGTATTGGTGGGAGACAGCTGAAAGATTTTGGTGCAGCATGGTGATAAGACTTCAGTCCTAAGAAGTAAAAGATACTGGTGACCGAGTGAAGGTGATGTGACATGGTTTTTGGGCTACCTGGAACTGTAGGCGTGGCTCTCTGCTGACTGCCTTATCCTAAAAGAGTTGTTACCTTCTGCGTTTAAAAAACTTTAAAAGAAATATTGAAGAAAGAAAAAAAAATCTGGCTCCCTCTGACAGAGCAACAGGAACTTGAAGGAAATACCAATGTAGTTAATTGACAGAGAAATGGAATTTAAAAGCAAGTAATGTGTGCTTGTGTTATGTTAAAATAAGCCATGTCATACCATGGTATTTACTAGGCTGTCAGCTGTTCCTCAGATGATTAACTCTGATGCCTCAAGCCAAATTAGCAAGTTTCTAGATTGTCTATGAGTAGTGTTATCTGCAGGGGAAAAGAATAAGTGCAGTAAGCCTCTTGATTGTTTGCATGGATTTACAAGTCTATTTGATAATTCTGTTCCTACAGCTTCTCTTTGTCTGCATTTAAAAACTGATTAAATGCTTTAATTCCAATCTTAATTTTTTTCCTAGCTGAGATGATTGACAAATTGACCTTGACATTCAACCGTACCCGTCAAGCCGTCATTACCAAGGAGCTTATTGAGATCATCTCGGGGGCTGCTGCTCTGTGAGTACCTGCACAAACACAAAATAGTTGTTGTTACAAATGCTTTACGTCCCACTCCTTTCAGGTTATTGGGAGAGGTTAGGGCACGTAGGTCCTAAAACTGAAGGGGAGATGATCCATAGCACGACTCCCAAGTTTTTCAGCTTGTGCAGTTCTACTAACAAGTGTGAAGCTTGGCGGTCGTTTTTGGCCAGATAAAGTTAAAAAGCTGGTAAATACATTTCTAGCCTCAACATGCATCCTTGCCGGAACAGACAGTGGTTTTCCTCCTTTTTGGCTTTTGAGCGGATTTACCTCCCTCCTCCCTTCTACCTGAGTTTTTCCTGCTCTATCTGCTCAAACAGCCCAGTACCATTGGGTGGTGAAGAGCAACTCAGGTGACTGAAATGCTTTTGGGTAAATCAACCTGTGATGGTGGTCAGAAGCTGAGACTGGGGATGGGATTGGAAGGAGGAGGGAATTTCCAGAGTCTGTTGATACCAAGTGTGTATTTTACTTTAAGTTCAGTGTTTTGCAAGTTTGGTGTTTTGCTTATTTCCCCAAGAAAAAAGTTTTGTGAAAGCGTGTGCTGCAAGTTACAAATGTGTGGGCTTAGACCACAATTTGCAACTGCATATAGCTAATGCATATTGCATCTAACAGTTAAAAATCTGTGCTATAGTGAGATGCAAATACCTGTGTTGATATCCTGTGTGTTTACAAAATGCCTGGAATACGTTCCGTGTAGCAGTTACGTGCTGTATTGTGCTCCTCACAATACATTTGTGGTCATAAATACGTGCATAGTTTTGCCTGAATTTGCATGAGATGCTTCCTAACCTGCTTGTTCTGTTTTCTCTCGTAATACCATAACCAGGGATTAATCGGAAAAAGCGGTTCAGCCAAATCCAAGAGGTAAAGTTCTGAAGTAGAGACTAGATTGCCTTTTGAAATGAATTAACACAGAAAATCTTGAAGTCAGATGAGGAAGTCGGAATTTGTTGCTCAAACTTCTTTTCCCAAAAAGCTGATAAGCTGCCTGTTGCTAGTTTGAAACTGTCTGAACAAAAAGTTCTTCAGTGTCAATAATTTTAGGCAAAATATATCCATGATGGCGTACATCCGCAATTGGTATACCTTTCTGTGTTTTATTTTCTGGGTTATTGGTTTTGTTTACAGTTACTGTTTTAAGTTTTTCATAGTGCCCTGACCTTATGCAATGTCTCTGTCTAAGACCTTGTACCTAAAGAGGTTTCTATAGCAAAATAAGCATATTCAAAATGTAAAACTTCAAGTTAAAAATAGACATGATAAGGACTTTGGGGTGGGGAGGGGTGAAGAATATTAGTGAGTTGAAGTGTTCAAATTTGAGGAGAGAAAGGTTTTAAATAAATAATTTTTAAAAGGTTTTAATTTGCTTCCATTTTCCTTACAGGTGAAGAAGAGCTCTTCTGAGCATATGGTTTAACCTGCCTGTGTCTGTGTTAGCAAGGCTGCTCTATTATTTTGTGAAGTGGTAAAGCTCCAGAGATCTAAATTCTTACAATAAACCACCTACATGAAACAAACGTTCTTGATTGTCCACGGAGCAAATATTTGGGTTTGACTTGGTTATTCTTTGCAACGTAATTTTTGCAAGCTCTGCGTTTCGTGATGTGTCTGGCTTGCAAAAACATACGAGTGGGAGTTTCTTCATTTGAAGAGCGGAGGAGACTGCCTGTCTTCACCTTGTGTGTAAAGTGTTGGTTTGTTACGTGTGTTTGTACCGTGTGCTGGAGGGGGAGACTGTGGAATAACCTCTGGGCGTCGTGCAGTTGGAATGCTGAGCTCCAGCTCATTCGAATACCATATTGCTACTGTTTCTGGATGTTCATATTCTAAAACGAATTGATTCGATCACATTTCAGTGTTCATTTCAAACGCACGCTGTTTATAACGTGATCAGTGCGTGCGTGTATATATTTGCGTGCTATAAAAACATTAACGCCGCAGTTCTCAGCCCTTGCTTTCCGCAGCAGGAGTGAGAGAAAAGTTAAATCTGAAAAATAAGAGCGTGGTGAAAGTATGGGAAAGGAATCGTGGTGCAGTGTAAGCACAGCTGTGGAAAGCTGCAGCTCCTGGTCTCATAAGACAAAATTAGAGCCTTGAAGGGCTCAGTGCTGTACGTGACAAATGGGAAGGGGATTTGCAGAAGAGGTCTGAAGAGAATGGACATGGCCCTGAGCTTCAAAGCAAGCTGTGAGTGTGACACAGGGACAGGAGTAAGAAGCCACATCTTGGGGCAAGCTGGACCTCAGCTGGTTAGAAGCCAGACAGTCAAGTGCTGAGCTTCACCACATGTGTTTCCTCAGAGGCAACTTGCTGGCTTAATGAAGTGCTGCGTTGATGCTGCCCTGGAGTGCTCAGAGAGCTGCCGCTGTGTGTACGGGGAGATGGGCACGGGGATAAGGGAAGCGAATATCATGGACTGAGGTGGGGTTCAGGAGAAGGAGAGAGACTGTCGTGTAGCAGATTTGTTCCATATTTAGAAAGCGCTTCTGATGACAGGCCAAGGGCATTCTGGCCTGTCAGAAATAGTGTGGTCAGCAGGATCAGGGAAGTGATAGTCCCACCAGTGAGGCTGCACCTTGAATCCTGCGTTCAGTTTTGGGCCTCTCAGGACAAGAAGGACATTGAGGTGCTGGAGCGTGTCCAGAGATGGGCCACAAAGCTGGTGAAGGGTCTGGAGAACAAGTTTTACGAGGAGCAGCTGAGAGAACTGGGGTTGTTGAGCCTGGAGAGAACGAGGCTGTGGAGACCGTCTTGCTCTCTACAGCTCCCTGAAAGGAGGCTCTAACAAGCCAGGGGTTGGTCTCTTCTGTGTAACGAGGGACAGGACAAGAGGAAATGGCCTCCAGTTGTGCTGGGGGAGGTGTAGATTGGATATGAGGAAAAACTTTGCTGAAAGTGTTGTCAGGCTCGTGAACAGGCTGCCCAGGGAGGAGCCACCGTCTCTAGAGGTATTTAAAAGCCACGTGGGCGTGGTGCTCGGGGACATGGTGTAGTGCTGGACCTGGCGTTGCCAGGTTAACGGTTGGAATTGATGATCTTGGAAGTCTTTTCCAACTGAAACGATTCTATGGTTTTATGATTTCCAGGAACTCCAGTTCTAATGCTGCTGCTGTTCACACGGCAGCAGACTGGTTAGAAGGGGTGAATGCAGGGATTACTGAAATGGGCAAAGACAAACGAGCCGCTGGATATTGTGATAGTGCAGGAGTCCCTGATCTATGCAATTCCCAGTTCTCATAATCTGGAGCCTGCAATTCTTTAAGCATAATTTTGTTTTTATTTAGAAACCCTTTTATATCACACTTGGTCTTGTTTCCTTTTCTTACCTGAGTGTGGGAAACAGTGCTTGGAAAGTGCAAGCAGGAAAAGACAGTAGATTGTGATTTTCTCTGTTAAAGTTGAAAGCTAGCCCCACTGCTTAAACAACTTCCTCCTCTTTGAGGAATCCCGATGATTTAGGTTCCTCTTTTCCTCTGTAAATTTATCCATCCTCTCTATTCTTTTCCATATGAAATTACATCATAGAATCACAGAATGGTTTGGGGTGGAAGGGACCTTAAAGGTCATCTAGTTCCAACCCTCTGCCATGGGCAGGGACACCTCCCACCAGGCCAGGTTGCTCTAAGCCCAGTCCAACCTGGCCTTGAACATTTCCAGGGATGGGGCTTCCACAGCTTCTCTGGGCAACCTGTTCCAGTGTCTCACCACCCTCACAGGAAAGAATTTCTTCCTAATTTAAGGGTATCTAATGCCCTTTCCACCATGCTCCTGACCTGATGGCACATGAACCAAAGTGCATGCTCATCGGGCCAAAGCTTTCCCACCGTGTCCGAGTTTTTTTGTGGCTGCCTGGCCAGCTGTCCCTCCTCACACTGCAGGGCTTGGCAGGATGGGCTCTGAATCCTGCCTTAGTTCCCTTTAAAGTGGAGGGCCTGTGCCTTTGCAGCTTTCCAGAGCACTCAAAAAAACCATTTTTTTTTAAGAAGTGTGATGCCAGTTCCTATGAGGAATGGCTGAGGGATCTGGGGCTGTTTAGCCTAGAGAAGAGGACGTTGAGGGGAGATCTCATCGCTCTCTACAACTACTTGAAAGGAAGTTGTAGAGAGGTGAGAGTTGGGCTGTTCTCCCTAGTGGAGAGTGATAGGACGAGGGGAAATGGATGTAAATTGCACCAGGGTAGTTTCAGGTTGGATATTAGGAAGAATTTCTTTACTGAGAGGGTTGTCAGGCATTGGATCAGCCTGCCTAGGGAGGAGGTTGTCGCCTACCTGAGAGAAGGGTAGACATTGCCTTGAAGGACATGGTTTGGTGGTGTTGATAGCACTAGGAAAAGGCTGGACTCGATGACCTCGAAGGTCTCTTCCAGCCAGAATGGTTCTATGATTCTAAAGCTGCTCAATGGGCTGAAGGGACTGAGCAGAGAGCATCCACCTGCCCTGATGAACAACGAGCTGCGGGACTTTGCCGTGGGTCCAGCTCCCCTCTCCTCGCGATGCAGACCTAAGATGTGACCGATACAAGAGACCTGACTATTTATTGACTAATCAACATGCTACTAATGGTCTAATAAATCAAAGAGCTAATTCATGAACTAATTAACTTCTAATAATAGACTGCTATTATTTACAGTTCTGTCCTTCACACTCTGATTAGTTGCACACAATTACCCAGTTACAGTTTAGCATTTGTAGTCGTGAGCTCAGCCACCCTGAATAACAGCTCTGTTGCTCCTCATTCTACCTCCCACACCACTCAGTAACATTAATTTTCTTTCTGGATCCTCCTTCTTGCCACCATCATTTCATCCTTTCCCTCCTTTCTTTTATTCCCAAATAAATAACTTGCTCAGAAACACTTTTTCCTCATTGTTGCCAGTTTTGCTACATCTGTTCCCAAAGCTTATGTTTCTACTACCAGGCACTCTTTGCCTTAGATGTAATTATTTATATACCTGTCTACATAAAGGTGACCTTGGAAGGTTCTGCTTCCCTAGAAGATCACCCAAACTTTCCTTCAATTTGGCTTATACTGACTCTTAAAAATGATTGGGGTTTTTTTGTGTTTCCACCACATGAAAAAAACACTGTAGCTACAGAAGAGATTAACAAAAGTTGTCTTTTTCTTAGCTCCAGAGGAATTACTGAAGTTAGAAAGGAGAGAAATGTAACAAATCAGCCATTCTTTTTTCTTTTTTTTCCCCTTTTTTTCTTTTTTTTTCTCCCCCACTGCAAAGGTGAAATATCCCTTACAAGTCTTCTGGCACTGGAGTCAATTTTTTTTTTTAAATGTCTTAAAACAGGCTCCTTCCTGTGTTCTTGAGAAATCTCTTTAGTATCAAAGGATTCTGTTACCCTCAAAATTTCCTCTCCCACTTCTCAGATCCCTGCTCCTCACAGCACAGGCCTAATCCTACAATCTCTGTGTAAGTACAGAAAGTCGCGGATGCAGCATTAACCATATATGTGACGAGTAAGGTTTTAGGCTGGGCCAGGCACTAAACCTCACAGATGCTCTCTAGCCACCTTCAGGAATGAGGAGGAGAGACTTAGAGAGTGGAAAATAAAACAGCTTTAATAAACAACGGCGATAAGGAAATAATGAAATACATACAAAACCGGTATCGAACCTGACTCTCCTCCCTATAGCAACCTCTACTGATGCTGCAGAGCAGGTGACACCGGGGAAGCCCCAGACTCGGCAGCAGAGGGGAGCTGGATACAGGAGCTGGATTTGGGAACTCAGGAGAGGGATCAGACAGAATGAGGATTTTGTCGCTTGAACGCTGGCCGTCGAAGAAGAGACCTTAACGCCTTTGATCCTTCAGCTTTATACTAAACTTGATGTATATGGAATGGAACACTCTTGTTCATCACCTGTCCTGTCTGTTCCTTTCCAGAGGTGCCAAATTTTATTTCCTTGTGACCCCTTCGCAGCACCCTCAACATGTTGCACAAGATCCGGCAGTGACCTTGGCATTGCAGGAGCAAATGTCAGCAAGAGCCTTTCTGCATCCCAGTTGTTGGTAGTAACTGTAAACATGAGGAGCTATCACAGAA